TCGCCGAAATCAAATTCCGATAACACCGAATTCAAAAACTTATCGAATTCGGCCGAAATAATTTTTATCAGTTGTCCTAGAATTTATGAAAACAGCTGTAATTAGAAAATATTAAATACTGTACGTATAAGCGCGAAATAATGCCCGTGGGCGTTGTTTCAAAATCGGGATCCTTCAAAAATAACATATGCGGTTCCGGATTAGCATCCATAGAGGTTCCAAATTAACGTGAATAAACATCTTGCATAAAAAAACGGGTTGAAACTAGGTATTGTACTAAGTAAATCTACTTTCGAGCTTTCTTCAAATCGAGACGATTCTAAAGATCAAAAAATCGCCTAGTAGATCGCCAACAATGGCTATTCAAAAGTTTACAACTTGTTTGCATCGTCTGCAAATCATGTAACCAAAGATAAACAACAAACGTTGCGGGATACTACAGTATTAGGCCATTTTTGATGTTTTTATTACCAGTAGAATCGTCTCAATCTGATGAACAAGTTTTTATTAAAGCTCGTAGTAGATTTACTTAGTGCAAAAACTAATTTCAGTGCATTTTTTAATTCTACTATGAACAAATACCCTTATTATACTTAAGTATATAGTAATATTTAACTTTAATTTCGAGATAACGCGCAGGTCAATAATTAATGCGCAGATGGGCGTTATTTCGCGTTTATACAGTACGGTGTGTACATAATATTTAGAGATTAAACACGCATAAAATTTAAACTTTAGTTTACCTACCCATTTCGAGTACTAGTTGACCGGGTTGTTATAAAAGAAATTCAAGCGAAAGTCTCTATCAAACAGGTTGCAATAAAATTCTTTCATATAATCTGTCAATCTCTATTTTATTTCATCCATAAATCGTTATGTCTGGATTACATACTTTACTGGTGCGATCTTTATTACAATGTCTGTAATTAGTTGAATTAATCATTTCACTTTATTTATGTATTTGAATGCAAGTAATTTTTATGCACACTGAACAATTAAATCAAATAAATGATAAAGATTCATGTGCTTGAATAACTTATTTTACATACTTAGATTAAATGTTTTTTTATACTCACAGAATTCACTAACTACACCATTGAATAAAATAAATTAAATAGTAAATATTTATGAAATTGAATGGCTTATTTTTAAATAGATTAATCAACACCATTTATACTTAAGTGCTAAAGTAACGCGAATAAAATATAATAATAATAAACATTCTTGAATTTAATAATTCATTTAGTAAATGAAGAAATTTTCATGAATTTTGCATATTCAAACAATGAATGGTTTTTATTTTATACTCATGCGCCAAATTAATTCAAATTAAATAGTAAATATTTCATTAACTCAGTTTATTTTAAATATTTAGATCAATAAATGTTTCTTATACTCAATTTAGATATTAGATAAGGCTAATATCTTAAAGAAATTTAGCTAAACTATCTATATAACGGATTTTTTGGTTCTTATAATTAATTTTTTTGTAATATTTATATAACGGATTTATAATAAATTTTAAAATTAAGTCCGTTATATAGATGATTTTTTACAGATGTCTGTTATATAGATAGTTGACTATACTATCAGAGAATTTTGATGAGGTTTTATTTAAATATCAGACAAGGCTAATATTTCAAAAAAATTTGATTAGTATTTTGGTTATTTTATTGGAAAATTTTAACAGGGTATCTACCTTATTGGTATTGATTAAATTATGTCATATAAATATCATATACTGTAAATATCATTATATGAATATTATATATAAATATCAAATAAATATCATATAAATATCATATAAATATCATATAAATATCATATAAATATATATATACCATATAGATATCAAATTGAAATATCAGGAATTCTATATATGGGCTGAATAATGCTGCCGATGTGTGCTAAGCCGATAGGTAACAGATACGCGCGCAGGTACTGTACGTACGTACGTATGTACATATCGGACGGTTTCTACCGAATGTGACATATATGTGACCTATCGGCCAGCAGATATGTTGTAGAAATTTTATTGTTGGACCAGTGTTACGTAACAATAAATATTCATAGATTTGAATAATAATAGATTTCGTGTTGATGCACTAAATTATTGCGAATAAAATAGTAATTAATTCGTAACCTTGAATATCCTGCTTACATTAATAAATTTTGAATAACTCATTTTGAATACTCAGTTTAATAAATGTTCTTTATATTCAAGTACTAATTCTCGCGAATAAAATTAAACTATTAATTAATAAATATTTATGAACTTAAATTTTAGTATAATACAATATATATCTATCGAACGTGTAAATCGGTTTAAACTTTTTTTATTAGAAATCTAAAAAGGCAACTACTGTCGATAATGAAGGGTCAATAATAAAAGTACGAAACTAATGACAAAAACTCCATTTGATAAAAAAGGTTGGTTTGAGTGTTCTCAAACATGAATTGCTGGTGATCGAGATGTTACTCGATCAGTAAAATTAATTGAATTGATTTGAACTTTTTTAAAAAAAAAAAACGTGAAAATTTAATTGATAATCTAATTTTGTAAGTAATAAAAATACCAATACGCCCAAAAGGAAATTACGACAGTTTTACGTACAAATTCGTGTAACCTTAAATTCCAAACTCAAATAGATAATTCATTATTATGCGCTATAATTAACAAATTAACATTAAAGTTTCTTGGTTACAATAAAAGTAAAACTTGTTTGAGATTTCTCCTTCGTAAAAATATTATCAATAAGAATAAATATAGTTATATATAATTCTTTATCATTATTTTGTTTGAGATTTCGACATTTGAGTTTGTTTGACTGATTTTAATGCTCAGAATTCGTGAATTTGTTCAACATCCCTACTTCCCGAAGCATTGAAGCATTATCCGGTCCAATTCGACACAGTGAGGTTGTTATAGATTATGAATTGTCCAATAGTATGGATAATCCAACTTAGAAAAGACAATTAAAGCTCACATTTTCCACTCGTTAAATTTTCTGGCATATAGAGATTCTGTATAGAGAATGACCACTGTATACAATCCAAATACATGTTATAAAGCGATATCAACTCCACTACTGATTATTAGTACCGAGAAAATCGATATACAATTGATCGACTGGAATCTAAGGACTGCAATCGATGGAAATCGGGCTCGCAAATTTCCAGCAGTTACGATTAGGACATTCGTTTATTAGAATTTATTAAGCGTGTTTCTAGTCGAAGTAACCCCATTTCTATTGGATCTATTTAGGTAAAGCCATAATAATAAACTCTTGTGGCATCCATTTTTCTTCATTATTATGTGAATAAGATGCCTATAAATATCCGTGGAGGGGGGTAATACTAATTTTAGAATGTCGATTTTTCAGAAAGCATCTTTTCAGTTTGCATTGAAATTTATACGCTTTGTGATGCTTCATATACGTAGATTGAGTTAAAACGAGATAGAATGACAGTGATTTATTTATATCCACCATTTCCTTAATTAGGCTGTTCTATTTAAAATTATTAGTGGAATCGAATACTTCTGCGATGAATACTACTATTTTGGAGAAGATAGGAATTGCCAAGAGGTAATTACAACTGTATGTACAACATTTTTCCAGGAGGAAGTGGTATTGAAAATCCAACTGGAAAAGTAGCAATTGTAAATGCACCGTTGGACTATCCGAAGTTTTAGCTTTTTCAAACAAACAATGCACGCACAGCAGTAAGGTTTTAGAGTCATTACTAGTAAAGGTGTTAATGACAGTTTGAAAGGTTAATTACAGTATAGTACGGCATAGAGTTACATTATTCGTTGTCAATTAGAAATTGTCTCGCAGTAAATGTAATTCGACTAATATTATAACGAAACCAGAAGAAGAGTGATGCCGGATCCTGGACAGTACCACAAGTAACTATGTAAATCAAAATTGTGTTATCATATTAAAAAATCCAATATTGATATATATATTTTTTAATAACTTTGCTTACGTACGTACAATGATCGGGTCAGGTAGCTTAAACTATTATTATTTCAAACGCTTTATATAAAACTACTCCTAATTATATTTATAGCAAAGTTTATTTTTCTAAACATAAAAAAAGAAATATTTTTTATGTAACTTTGTTATAAATGTACTCAGATTATATAATATGCTATCTGAAGGAAATAATACGATTCGTTCTTAACATTTAAAAATGTTTGAAATATTTGACGAATCATTCTTCAATATACAAAAGTGATATGATACACATGTACTGTACAATCATTAACTTATTAAATAATTAAATAATTACCAACCACACATGGTTTTGATCTACATAGATATTCCGTAGTTCTTTTGATGCATTCCGAGAAAGCTGTTTGTTCAGATGTTTAAGGTTAGGACGCTATCAAAGTCAGAGCAATATTGGCTTGAATAGAATATCTTAAAAATGTTGGTCCCGTATTAAAATAACGAGCGTCACATCTACGCGTTATGTTGATCACCTGCGCGTTATTTAGAGTTCGCTTATATGCATTACTCTGAGAAAAAAGACTGATTTTTTGAGACCGATTAGCTAATATTGCAGTATTGTATGACTTATGTCGGAAGTCTATGAACGTTATTTGAAATTAAAATTTTTATTTTTAAAAAATCCAATTTTGACAGGCCCTAAGGTGTCTAAGGACCTTCAGGATAGCGGAGGAGGTAAAAAAAAAAAAAAAAATCCATTTTCGAAAAGCATCCATGTAGATTTGCGACATAATACAAGGAAAAAAAATACTCTAAGATTGATAGGAATATTAAATCGTGAAATTAAGATTAAAGATAACAAAATTACATGGATCAAAATAGATATAACTGGTAATCATGTATGTACATTACTTATAATGATCACATTATCGTTTTAAATGTTCTTAAACTTATTCTTACAGCATAAAATGTAACTATAGTTTCATGTGTGAGAGGAACTTCGCTAATGCAAGCAATTTCTAAATTTGTTTTCTTGATCGCTTTGTTCCAATGACTTAGTGTTTATCGTTATAATAAAATTTTATCCAATTAAATCCTAAACATGTTATATTGAAGTGTGACCAATAAAAATTTTTTTTTACTAAGAATAACGATGGTACAACAATGTGGAAAGTTTAAACAAATAAATCTGTGATATGTAAGTTGTTTTTGCTTATAACCGAGTTAAATAAAAATGTGAATGCACCCAATAAATCTTCCTAAAAGTACTACCGTTTGATTTTAAAGTTAATGCTGTTGAATGAATGAGAGGACCTAATGGTAATCAATATTCAATAAATGTTTCGGATAATTTTTAATATGAAAATATTTGTAATTTATGTATGCAAATAACATGATACATTTACAAAATGTTTATGCATTATTGCATCTTGAGTTTGTTCTAAAATAAGTTATATTCTTTAGTAACTTTTGGGCTAATGATGCATAAGACAAGGTCTTAATACGTGTATAAAAACAAGGATCACAAATTTATTACTACGTACATTAAAAGAAGTACGTACAGTACGTACATATTTTATCGATCATCCTTCGCCTAGTACCACAATAATTTGATAATCATTTGTCCATTTTCAAATCTTTGCATGCTAAGATATATGATAAAAAATTTATTGAACTATTAGGGCTAATTAATGCATATTTATGCAGTAAATCAAATCAAAATGTGCTTTTATTAACAAATTAAATAACAAATTAAATAACAAATTAAATACTGTTTTAATTTTGTCAATGATATGCGAGAAATCGTGTCGTGTCGTGTCGTGTCGTGCTGTGTGAATGCGATCGTCTGAAAAGTAATAAATAGGATCGAAATTTTCTCAATTATGAATTAGTTTAGATTTTAGATTTTAGATTTATCTTTCTTTTTTTTTTTTTTTTTTTTTTAAAAAAAAATAATAATATTATTATTATTGTATAGAAATTTTAGATACAGTATAAAAGGTCGAATGAGGACTCTAAATATTATTACTTTATATCTATGTTTGTGGTGTTTTGCGTGGCAGGCGTATTGTATTGTCTTTCCCCCTCCACCAAACCATCAGATCGTTCAGAATGCCTACATTGTTGGGCATGATCACGGAGTAGGGAAATTAGGTTCTATTTGTAAAAAACAAAAAGCAAATTGTACAATTCGTATGGAGCTACCCCTCATTACTGCGACATCGGTAAAGTGCAATCATGAATCCGATATTCACAAACTTTCTATGGATAGTGGAGTTCGGACTGCTCATCCAGTGGTAATTTCATGTTAAATAAAATAATGTAAAATACTGTAGTTAAAAAAATTCTCACAAAATATTATATATTTTTAGCTTAGAGTTGATAACGTATTTCGAGTATTTTTTGCTGATAATATTACTGGAGTTGCTGCCGTTCAGCAAAAATTAAAATTTACTGGCAAAGGCATTAAGGTAACTATCGCGATTCCGCTCAAAATTTGACTATATCGATAACTAATTTCCTTAATCTATAACGATAATAGGTCGGTGTTATCGATAATGGAATTGATTTTCACCATCCAGCTTTTGGTAACTGTTTCGCGACTCCTGGATGCAGAATTATAACTGGTTTTGACTTTATTGGAAACGGTACTCCCGAAAATCCTCAACCCAATCCTATTCCTTTAGAAACTTGTGATGGTCACGGAACTCACGTGGCTGGTATAATTGCTGCGGATGATCCTATTAAACATTTTACGGGAGTCGCACCCGAAGGTAATCTACCACATAGTTATTAACGTTTCTGGTATCTAACGCTTAATTAATCAAATTCAAAATTTCTATTTATGAAAATTAGCACAACTTGGCATATACAGAATCAGTAATTGCGATGCCGAAACATCAGATGATATTATTATCGCGGCAATGGGACGTGCACAGAAAGATGGAATGGACATCATTAATCTTTCTATTGGTCATGATTTTTTTTCTTGGCCGGAAGACCCTCTTGCAGTTGCTGCTTCTAAATTATCAGACAGTGGCATAGCTGTCAGTGTTGCCGCATCTAATGAGGGTAATGAAGGTATCTTTACCTTGGGAACTCCAGATTCGGGTGCCAACGTTATCACAGTCGGTGCTGTTCAAAATACAAAATTCTTTACCTTTTTCTTGACCGCAAATGTTGCTCCAAAAAGAAAAATCAGTATGTTTTAATTATATTTGACTCTTTTTTATTGTGTTATTCTATTTGACTTGATCGGAATACTTAGTATTTTTTTTTTTTTTTTTGATACTAAAGTTTATGAAACAACACGTGTTACTCTCTGGTTTGGTTTGAGTGGTCCACTTCCTATTAAACCAACAAGCACTCAACCTATTACACCAAACGATGCCTGTACTAATGTCACTGAAGATTTTACAGGATTCATTGCTTTAATTGCTCGAGGAACTTGTACCTTTACTCAAAAACTCCAAAACGCTGAAGCCGCAGGTGCAGTTGGCGTACTCTTTTACAATAATGACGACGTACAAGCATTCGCGATATCTGTAGTAAACGATATCCCGAGTGCATTCATTTCAAAGAAAGATGGACTATTTCTTTTAGATGAATATAATTCAAATCACAACGTAATTGTCTCTTTTCCAAATAAAACAATAATCGTTGATGCTCAAATTGCCACTCAGCCTTTAAATGAAAGTGGATTCGGTCCAACCTTTGAATTGGACCTGAAACCTGACTTTTTGGCCCCCGGGGGTCTTATTTTTAGCACTTTCCCCGAAAATTTGGGATCATACGCAACATTATCTGGTAAGCTTCTTTTATAACTAATGCTTATCAAAATTATTATATTTTCTAAATATCAATTTTGATACAATTTTATATTTTAATTAGGAACATCAATGGCTGCAGCCTATATGTCTGGTACTATTGCGCTTTTTTTACAGGCAAAAGGAAAAACTGACCCGAAACGTATTCGTGACATATTTCAAACCACTGCAATACCAGAAGAAATGAGAAATTTGAACCAAGAATCACTTGGCATGCTTCACACTGTAGCTAAACAAGGTGGTGGTTTAATTAATGCTTTTAATGCAATACAATCCGAAATCATAATTACACCTGGTAAATTACCACTTAATGATACACCACATTTTAATGGAACTGCTTCTTTCCGAATTAAAAATCTTTCCAAAAATACCAAAAATTTTGTTCTTTCTCACAAACCTGCTGCTTCTGCGAGAGGATTTTTCGGAGGAGAATTAGTTCCATTAGCTAATACATTATTTGACCCATTCTACGCAAAGGTTGTGATTCAACCTTCGTCGATCAGTTTAAAACCAGGCAGTACAATTACAATTAAGTTAAAGATAACACCACCTGCTCAATTAGATCCCCAAGATTTTGGTTTATATTCTGGATACATACTTATTAAAAACACTGATAAAAGTGGTAAAAGTGGTAAAAGTCAAAACCAAGTCGGTAAATATCATAAGAGAAGCACCAATAAACACACCGATGGAAATCATAAACACATCGACTCATACTCAAATGGAAATCACAAACATAACTTAGACGACGAATATAATAACCATGAAGATAAAAACAATCATAAAAGCAATCATAAAAGCAATCATAAAAGCAATCATAAAGGCAGTCGTAGAAGCAATCATAAAAACAATCATAAAAACAATCAAACTGACAACGATGAGGATTATGAAGACAACGATAATGATCATAATAACGGCACATTTTCTGGACTTTTTGAATTTGGAGAGCTCGATCCGAATGAGGAATTCACAGTCCCATACCTTGGTCTAAAAGGCGATCTTCGTGCATTCCCAGTATTAGGTTTAGATCCTAATACAGATTCTCCATTTATAGTGGACAATAGTAATGGCAACGAATTTTTCAATTCTTCCGAAGTTATACCATTCAACTTTTTGGGTAATGACTTTCCAACTTTAGTTTATACAATGATTCTCGGATCCCCATTAGTACGAACCTTATTAGTTATTGCAAATACTAATACCATAGTTGGTACAGTATTCCAAGATACTTTTGTACGCAGAAATGATGCGCTTAATGGCGACGTATCTTTCTTTGATTGGAACGGAACAGTCTTAATGGGCAATTCTAGTATACCGACACCAGTACCGGACGGGTCATATCAATTTATTCTTGAAGCTTTACATATATTCGGGAATCCTAATAATCAAAGTGATTTTATAACGTGGCGATCGCCAGTTCTTGTGGTTCAAAATAGTGCAAGTAATCAAACTAGTGTGGTTCCAAGTAATCAAACTAGTTCAAATGAAAAAAAAGTAGCAGTGGCTATAAGCTAATAAAGATGGATTAATGACCGGAAATACTTAAAAAAAAGAACATTTTTATACATAGGAATTATACTCGATGAGAAATCATTATCGCGTATTTACCACCCTCATATTTAGAATGATTAATATAATTACCTAAAAAAAAAAATAATAATTGATAATATCTATAATTTTTGGTTTTATTTGTATGTATACGAGGCCGAGAATGATTTGAACAATTTAATAAAAAAAAAAAAAGAAGTATTTACAAAACATCCCGTAATACATTAATTCAATAAAGATACCCTATCACTATACGATATCATCGAAACTAATTAATGAATCAAATATGTTAGCTTCAGCTTTAACAGTAACAGAAAAAACAAGCTAATTACCTAGAATTAGTGTATTTCACTTATTCACATGGTGTAAAATACCAACACTTTTACCGGCCATTCAAAAAGTAACTTTCTTGATTCGCAATGATTTAGTATTTAAAAATCACCAAATATATAACAATAATACACTAATATTATACCGGGTTGGTGAAAAGTAACTGGACGGTGACCTTTTCTTAATCACTATGATTATCATTTTAACGTTTAGTAATCATTGCAATAAATTAATTTATTGAAACGTTAAATTGATAATCATATTGGTTAAAAAAAGGTCACTGTCCAGTTACTTTTCACCAACCCGGTAGTTATACTACATTTATAGCTATAGTATCATTAGTGATAATGACCTAGTGTATCAAAAAGTTTAAATGGGTATCGGCGCAGTAAATGGCCGATAAATGAGTATTTTATTCACTGATCCGAATATTCATATATAAGTGCTTTCAAGGAAGACCTATCATCAGGCTTTCAATATATTTTGTGTCTAGTTTGTTCCTTGAGTGCCATTTAGAGAAAATCTACGGGCTTTCAATTATATTTTGTAACAACTCGTCACAAAATATAATTGAGAGCCCGATGATAAATTTCCCTAGATGGTACTCAGGGACACAAAATATATTGAAAGATATATGTATAGTATATGCACGTCTATCTATATCTATGTACGTACTGTACGTATATATATTACCGGTATTATAAAATTTCTAAATATGTAATACTAAACTCATCTAGATTACGATCGTATATTATATAAGTAACTGATAATTATACGTATTCGCCAAAAATATTGTATAAATTATATTAAAAAATAATTCGGTTAACCAATTATGGATGGGTAAACTATTTAGAATAATGCTAAAATCATATTTAAATCTAATATAAAAATTTTTTATTTTTGTTATACAGTAATTAAACTGGTGTATAACCACTCCTATTAAAATTTAGAAGGTATTGCTTTAAGATAAAATAGAGGTTTTTATATAACACAATATATACTATCCCTTAAACCGTACATTTTGGCGGGCAAATTTGCCCGCTAAAATTATTTTAAAAAAATTTTATGGGGTGAAAAAAAATTTTACGAGAATCTTTACTAAAATCGGTTAGAATGACACCCGAAGGCTCAGATTACATGCCGAACTATAAAATTTAAATATAGCATATGTCGTGTAACTAAAATGAAAGACAAAATTCCAGTTATGCGAAACATGCAACGTTAATATCACGAATTTTTTTTTGTAACTCAAAATTTTTGGGTCTTCCGGGCAGATTAAAGTACTACATGCATAAGCGAAGTTGACTAT